TAAGAATAAATGGTCAGATCTTATGACAAGAATAGGATTACAAGAAAAACAAAAAATGGAAAACAAACAAATTGAAAGAATTGTTAATAAAGAAAAACTTGAATTAAATCAAATAAATGGGATGGAACTATATCCGGAAGGAAAGAAAATTATTAAACAGAATAATAAGATGAATAATCAAATAAGAAAAAATAACAAGCGAAAGAAAGAAGATAAACAGATGAATAATCAACCACCAAAGAAAAAGAAAAAGATTACTAATCCAAAAAAGAAAAAATAACTATAAAAATAACAATAGAATTAATCAGAAATGAAACGTTAAATTCTTACGAATAAAACAATAAAAGAAAAAGAACAAACCAGAAGAGAAATAATAAGAATCACCAGATCAAAAAGAATTAATTGAATAAAAAGATGAACTCAATTAACCAATTAACCCCAGAAGAAAGACAAGCCAAAAAAGAAGAACTGAGAAAAAATCTAGACCTTCAAAAAGAATTATTAAAAGAAATTGAGGAGGAAGATCTACAAAAAGAAAAAGAAAAAAAGAAAACTCTAATAGCAAAAAAAGAAACCGAATTAAAGAACATAAATCAACAAATCATAAATCTAAGGATTACTAGGGAAAACCTAGCAAAAGAAATTGAGAATTTAAAAATAGAAATCGGAGAAAAAACTATTAGTGGAAAAATTATTGAAGAAATACTTAAAGAAGAAGCAAGAGCAGAAAACTCTCAGAAAAGAAATATCTCACCAGGGGATAAATGGAGTCAAGAATGGGGAAGAAAGAATAATTTTGAAGAAAATTACTATAAAAGAAACAAGAATGAAGAATTCGGAGTAAAAGAACGATTAGGAAAAAGAGAAGAAAGAGTTGGAAACTTTGGATGCAGCAACTGTAAAGAAACAACCCACCTGTTTAAAGATTGTCCAGAAATAGAATGTGGAAACTGTCAAAGAAAAGGACATATAAAGAAATTCTGTCCAGGGTATTACCCAGAAGAAAATAAACAAGAATACAATATTAAAGAAATTTTAGTAGCAAGAAAGGAAGCTGAACAAAACCATGAAACAGAGTTATCAACAATTACTAAAAAGGATTGACTAGAAGAAACAGAATGGCACCATCAGGAAAAAAGGATAATAAAAAGAAAAATAGAAAAAATTGAAGTCGAACTACCAAATGAAATTATCAAAGAAATATTTTTACAAACAATAGAATCCATAAGGAACGAAAAAGAAACTCTAGAGAAACATAAAAATAAAAGAATACTGGATTTACGAAGAATCTCAAAAGGATGGACAGGATTCTTTACAAGAGAATCTTTTCAAGAAATATTCATGACTAGAATCTGCAAACCAAGAAATAAATTTAAAAAGAAACAACCATGTACATGTGGAATAGACGCTTTTGGACATTTAAAAGAAACATGCAGGAATTGCATAGAAAAAATGAAATACATAACCGAAAAAGAAAAAATTTTAAAGAAAGCATTTGGAAAAGAACTTTTCAATAATTGTGACTGTGAATTTTGTAAAGAAAGAAGGGATTTTGAAAAAAGAAAAGAAGACCCTAAAAACAAAAAAGCAGAAATATACGGGAAAATATTTAACCAAATAGAACAAAAACAAACAGGATACTATCAGTGGACAAGAAAAGATATTATAGGAAATATACAATATCACAAAACTACTAATGCCCATAAAAAGGGATGTAGGACATGTCAAACATTAAAGGAAAGATTAGATGAAATACGAGAATTGGAGAACAATAGAAATTTCCAAGATTATTAATCAATAAGAAAAGATGAATAATCAGAAAAAACTTATAAAAAGAGAAAGAAAACTCCGGGA